CCTTCCGAAGACACTTTCCCGAACTCGTGCCGCCAGACTCTGACCGCCTTCGTGCTTTCCATATCTGCACACCTCTCCCGAAAGCGACCAGCCGACAATTTCCTTGACTTCGTGACGCGCTCATCCTCCTTTATGATCATACTGCTGCAAGAGATCGCTGCCGCAATCCAAGCGTCCCCCGGTGATGTGCCAACCGAAGCGGTCGATATATATCTCAAGATGAAGCGGGACAGCACGCTAGCGAATATCCTCGACCCAGACTACCAGATGAAGCAGTTCAGCGTGGCTGCCGAGGATATTCTGCAGAACTATCTGGAGCCGAAGACTTGTAAGCAGACTCCATGTAAAATCCACATGCGCCTAGGCTAACCGGCACTTACTCTAGACAACTGCGTGCCAGCGCGCTTATTCCTGCATCAAATCCTCGCGAAGCTTATACTCGAGATGATCGTCGTGAGCTGCTCCAAGCCAGAGTGGATCAACGGGTGGATCGTATACCTCCTAGAAGAGGGCGAGCCTGAGCTTCTCAATGCCATTGACGCCGGCGTCGAGGGTTCGTCTGAACAACTACAAAGTGTCAAGGACAACGTGGAGAGCGATTCAGCCGGTGCAGGAACGGCAACCCCCGCTGAAAAGAGGGAGCACAAGCGTGTTATGAGCAAGGCGCAAGAAGCCATGGACGATGCGATGCGAGAAGCGCAGCTCCTGAGCCAGATGATCGCCGAGGAAGACGCAAAGCGACTGAAGGAGCAACAAAAGCAAAGCGCGTCTACATCGACCCTGAACGATGACCAGTCCGAGAGCACCACCCAGGGCATAGTCACTCCCTCATCTTCCGAGGGCGAAGCGCATGGCGATGTTGAGCAGTCAGACTTGGCCATTTCAGGGCTCTCCGGTCGGTCATTCTCAGAAACCACACCAGCATCTCCGCCAAGGAGTTCCGAAGACCCACCAGCTCAGGAGGTCAAGAAGGCTTTCACGAGCTTCGATCAGCTTGTAATGCCCCAACCGCCTACTGCGCTTATGGACAACGCACCCACGGAAAGACCACCACCGTTAACCCTGCACAACAGCACAATGTCCATCTTTGATGACAGCATGCCTGGAGAAAAGGGCACCATCAAGGCCAAGCCCACAGCAGAGTATCTGATTCAGATCGAGCCAAAGTCCAACCATCACACCGGGTGGATGACAGCACGCAAGTACGCCGAGTTTGAGACATTACACGAAGTCATACGTCGGATAGCAGCTATCACCGGAACTTCTGGCTTCAACGAAGCACATGCTACACTGCCACCGTGGAAAGGTCACACTAAGGCGTCTTTGCGTGGAGAGCTGGAGCGCTACCTCAACGATGCTGTCAAGTACCAGCCACTTGCTGAAAGTGAAGGGATGAAGCGCTTCTTAGATAAAGAATTGGGTTCAGGAAAGACACCTGGTGGTGGCTTTCCAGGGATCGGATGGGCTGGTCAGACCTTCGACTCAGTGGGTAAAGGGATGATGGGCGTACTTTCAAAAGCACCCAAAGAAGTTGCCGGCGGTGGCAAAGCTCTTTTCGGTGGAGTTACAGGCGTACTAGGCAGCGTAGCATCACCACTGGGAGGAAAGAAGAATCGCGAATCGATCAGCAACGCCGCCACTCCGAACGCATCCGGAAGTCCTCTAAGCCGTACATCGTCCAACACGGCGCCAATCCAAACACGACAAAGTAGAGCCGAGTCGACGGTCTCCGAACTACCCACGCATATTCGATCGCCGAGCACGTTATCGCTAGTGACCAAACGCACATCAATGGATTCTGTGCGCGATCCTCACTCACCCGTGATCGACCAACAACCAGGACGGGAGGCGCCCATGGAACGTCGGCCATCCTACAACCCTGATGGAGATGGCAAGCGTTCGGGGAGATCTTCCAGATACGGCTCACGAAGCAATAGTCGCGCACCCAGCATGCGCGAGAAGATCGAAGATCTCAGCCCCATGATGGGAGGTGATCAACTAATCAATCTACCGCCAATGCCCAGCGAGATCTCCGACGACTACAGCACCATGCGCAATCAGCCAGAACCAACACCACCTCAGAAACCTTCGCGGCCATCAACAGACTCCGTGCCCTCACTACCCCGTCGACCCTCGGCCACATCGCTAACCTCATCTCCGGCCAAACCCGTGTCAAGGCCACGCGCAGCAACCGTCCACACGCCACTATCCGAGCCCGAAACCACCGTCCTCATCGAGCTCTTCTTCGCCGTCATAAACGAACTCTACACCCTCTCCTCCGCCTGGACCCTCCGTCGCACCCTCCTCAACGCCGCGAAATCCTTCCTCTTACGCCCAGGAAACCCACAACTCTCCTCCATCACATCACTCCTTCAGACCACCGTGCTTGACGGGAACGCGTCCGACGCCGGTCTAGCCTATCACATCAGAAAGATCCGGGAGAACGGTTTGCCAACCGAAGAAGAACTCAAAGGATGGCCAAAAGAGATGAGCGATGAAGAGAAAGAGAAGTTGAGGGTTAAGGCGAGGAAGTTGCTTGTGGAAAATGGTATGCCGCAAGCGCTTACGAGTGTAATGGGTCAGGCTGCTAGTGGAGAGGCGTTGGGTAAGGTGTTTGATTGTCTGCAGGAGCCTAGGGTTGCGAGGGGTGTTATGTTTGGGTTGACATTGCAAGGGTTAAGGGCTATCACGCAGTAATGCTATGTGTAACGGTGTTGAGGCGTTGGAAGAGATAAGGGTTGGTTTCATGTTGTATCAACTATTGAGTGCCTGCTTGTACGCTGCCGATTATGATAATGACACCGGAGGGCCGGCAGTGTGTCATCTCCGTAGCGAGTTCAGAGAGCACCAACTTCTTCGTCTTCAGCACCCTCGCCTTCATTAGCTTCTTCCTCATTCGCGCCGGTCTGGTCGGTGGCGTTGCTGTTGATGATCCCTCTTCATCTTCGATGCCTAACATATCTTCGTCATCAGAACGCCCACAGCCAGGTCGCTATGAGCTGCCACCATGGCCTGCATTTCCGCCTTATGCATTAGGACCATATTGTCAGAAATGGTATCGATAACTATCGACCTCAAGCCGGTGTCCTCGGGAAGGGTCGAAGAAAAGACATGATCGATGGCGAGGGCGAAAGATTCCACGTCCCAAAACCCATAGCGAGCGACGTTGAAGTACTTGACTGCTAGCTCTTTGAGGCCAGTGACATCGTACTTGTCAGCGATCGCATACATCTTCGAGTGCTTGAGAAGCTGGGCTGGTCCTCCAAGACGCCCGACTAAGCAGCATTCGTCGCAGATGAAGGCCTTGCAAGACGATTTGCAGTTATCGAGGATGCAGTAATGATGGGGACACAATGTCCACTTTTCACATTCCTCTGTGCAAGTATGCGGGAAATCATAGGTATATGGTTCTCCCGTGTCATCCCAGGTCTCACTTCGCCATATTTGGATGTTGGAGGGCGTGATCGGGCTCGCATGCTCGTTCCTCGGGGTTGTAGAGGAGTCGTCCTTGTACTGACCCGTGTAAAGGTATTGGATAAGAGAGGCGATTACTTCCGGTTCGTCTTCGGGGAGATCAACGACATCTGTCTGCGCTTCCTGTTTGTCGTCAAACCCAGTTCTTCCCAGACCTCGGGAATCAACCGCGCGTACCTTGCCACCAAACTTCAGAGCTCCAGTGAAGAAGGCTACTTGCTTGCACACGATGATCTTGTGAACTCTGTGAACGTCGGCTCCGCATTTGATAGTAAGGTCTGTGTATTCGCCGGAGGTGAAACAGCTGTTATAGCTGTCAGCTTTGGAAATTACGCACGAGCTTGAGGCACTTGCCTTTGGACCGCATCCACAATCTGAAGGCGCGGATTCTCTGCCATTTTCGGGTATCGCGGCGCTGGGCGCTGTGGTTCGAGATGTGTTGAGTGCACAAGCAAGACGCTCGATTTGCAAGTGGTGATCTACCGGAGCGGACTCACTCTTCGGGTCTCGCTTAGGTAGATCATTCCGACGTGAAGGTGAAAGTGAAGGTGAGGCGCGAGCGCAGACCACAACACATCGGTATCCTCCTGGGTCTCCAACAACAAAGCGCAGTCATACATTCCAGCCACGTAGTTTGCAAAGACAAGTTTCGATATGCTGGACAGTGGTGATGGCTACGAACAATGTAATCAAAAAATGTGCTGCGCTTGCCGCATACAAGACTGAGAACATCGCAATCATGTGAGACTGGTACCTATGTATTTTGCAACGCATCCTTCAGATGGTGTCAGTTTCTAGATACAGTGTTCGTGATCCAGACGCGAGAGCCGGTAACGTACAGCTCGATGCTCTCTAGTAGTTACGATGCTTGACTTTGGAAAGGTTAAGACCCATTATGAGCGAGCTTAGCGATATGATTTCACGTGTTCAGATTGGAAGCTGCTGCGCAAGCAGCATGCGGAGAAGAAAACCGGGCTAAAAATGCAGGGCAAGATGGGGTGCGCAGGGGCTGTGCTGATCAAAGGAGGGCGCCGAAGGCAGGCACTGAAGGAGCGTTTTCCGCGAACTTTGTGTAGACATGTAGGGTCAGCGCAAAATTGTAAATGCTGCAAAAGCGATTGGATATTGGAAACTGCTAGACTACTTCACGGCAACATAAGTTTGTGCACCCCGGTAACCAGCCGAAGTTTACCCGGCTACCTCAAGACTTTGGCTAGTCCCTGCGTGGTACAGACCAGAAACGCTTTGTATGGCTGGAGCAATCACTGAGCCATGTTTGGAGAGCATGGTGGAGTCGGAACTCCATCCATATCTAAACCATGGTACTGAATACCCATGGAATTTGCGCATTCGCCCATTAGTATATAACACCCTGCTTCTGCTTTCCCTCTTAGCTTTCTTACCATCACACAAACATCTTACATCCAAGGGGAAAACAATTCAAGGATACCGCAAACCATCCACTACTACCAACCCAAAACCAAACCAACACACCAACAAAAAACCTCCCCATCACAACCAACAAGATGCATTTCAACACCATCATCATCTCCCTCTTCATCACCCTGGGGCTCAGCCTCCCCATGTTCCCCAACCCCCGCCCATACATCCCAAGCGGCATGGGGACTCTCCCCCTCATCACCACCAGCGACTTTGTTGTCGCACGGGCAAGCCCCAACGACGTCGATGACGAAGTTGTCATCCCCGACAAATGGAGGCACACTCACGGCAAACTGTTTGAAGAGACAAAGGCAGAGAAGGTGGTGGTTCAGAAGAGGGATTTGGGGGACTGCAAGGAGGGTATGTGGGGTTGTTAGGGGGCTGAGGCTATTGGAAGCCGGGGATGTCAGGGGTGTGGAAAGCATACTGAGAGTATACTGCAAAACCCTAATCAGCCTGGAGCCTACGTTGACGTTGGGTCACCTCCTTTGCATGGTTTCATCTCGATGTATGCTGCAGACCTATTTTGACTTTTCGTTGTTCAGCGTGACCTGGTAGCGAGATTTCAATACCACACATAACACACACGCACCCCTTGCACTATGTGTCCTCATGCCTTTGCCTTCTCCGCATTCAACTTGTCGTTGATAGGCTGAAGCATGTTCGTCATGAACTGCTCATCCAGATCTTGTCCCGAACCTACGCCTTTCGGTGGCTCCACACCCCACTCCGGGATAAGCCTCGTCCCCCCAAGAGTAATTTCCAGTACACTGCCACATGGGTACTCTTTCTTCTGTAGCAGATCCAATAAAGAAGTCGCGCATGCATCTGGTGTCAATGCCTTCTCCGTAGTCACGGAGTACTGCTTGAGTTTCGCGGCGTCAAATAACGGTGTTGCCACCGCACCAGGACAGAGAGTGGTAATCTTGACGCCTGTGAGGGACTCAGATGGCCCAAGAGACTTTACAAAGCCCACGACAGCGTGTTTCGTTGCGCAGTAGAGCGGAGCTGCTAGGTTGCCTGATATGCCGGCTACTGACGCCTATTCTGGTGTTAGACGTGCCAACATCGATTACGTGACGGCCCTTCGAGTCGACCCTGATATGTTGGTATGACTTACGATGATACAAACACTAGCCCTTTTGCCCTTCCCTAGACTCTTCCTGATAGCCAATCTCGTCAACTTGATTGGATGGTTCACGTTGACCTCCACTTGCTTATACCCTTGGTCTTCAGGGTCTTGCCAGAAGTTGGAAAACGGTGGGTCGAACAGTCCCGCGCAGATGGCGTATGCATCGGGAACGTCGTTCCATTGCTTTTCGCACGCGTCGAAAAGTTTGTCAAAGTCGGCCCATCGCGTCACGTCAGATTGCACGTAGAGAATGTTCGACTTGTTGGCAGCAAAGGTATCGAAGTCGGGTGTTGTTTTGAGGTCTGCGACAAGGATGCGTGCGCCGAGATCGTGTGCTTGCTTTGTCACACAAAGGCCGATTCCTGTTCATGTTAGACATACTCCTTTCCGACATCGATAGTATTCTAAATACCAGATGCACCTCCTGTAATGAGGAGTATTTTGCCGTTCAGCGGCTGGTCGATGGATGTCATGTTGGCTCCACGCTTAACGATCGTATTGTATTCCAGCAAGCAATAAGTCTTTTCCAAGGTTTGCCAGAAGCTGAAGTGCTCTGGTAGTTAATGTCGCTACTCTGTTATGCGGCTGTCGGATAATAGCTTCCGCGGCCTCGACCGAACATCGCCGTTCCTTTAAATGAGGGGCTACGGGTAACCGAACGCCCCATGGCGGGCGCTACCGGTACCCGTATGTGAAAAGGCCCTTTTGTTCATGTGTTGTCTGGAAGCTAAGGTTGTGCCAGCGATTGGTGATTGATCGCAGAGTCGAGTGGAGAGGTGGAGGGGTGGAGCACAATCCTTATCGTTCTACAGGGTCAAGGCGGGGCGTAATGAGCAAAAAGTAAACTGGCGACGTGGTCCGCAGCGACAGGCACAACAATGAGCATCGCATCGATGGTCCGGGGTAATCAGTCATGAAAGGGCACATTGAAATCGTGCATGCGGCAAGTTAGGATGGATGCCGATCAGGGTTCCTGCAGGCAGTGATGCGTCATTGACCCGGCATCCTCGTCCCAGCCACCCGTGGACGCCAGCCACATTCGCGACAACTCAAGCAACAGCAATAATGTCGACCGAAGAATTGATACGCATCACTGTTTTTGCGAACCGCAATGCTAAGCTTTCTGAAGATGAGTTCAATGACCACTGGGCGAACAAACATGGCCCTCTCATCACATCATGGCTGCAGCGTCACGGTATCGTCAAATACGTCCAAGTGAGCTTCCCCATCAGCTCTCCCTACTTGTGCAGCCCCTTATTATCTTGATGCTGCGCAATTCATCTACAAGTACTGATCATTCGAAGTATCACACTACATCAAGACACAAAGCACGCCTAAGCATGCCTACTCTTTCGTACGACGGCATGGCGGACTTCTGGGTGCGGAAGTACGAAGATTTCGAGAAGGCTTACGAAGATCCTTTTTACTTGGAGGTAGTAAAGAAGGATGAAGAGTACTTGTTCGATATGGAGAGCTTGCGTGTGACTGCTGGCGTCGACATCTGTGTCATCGAAGATGGAAAGGTGGTACAAGAGCACGCCCATAAATTCTGAATTGCCTGCTTGCGTAGGCGCAAAAGGAGATGTCACATCAAGATGCGAATATGTGAAAGGCTGAGATGCAGATTGGTTCCATCACCTCCATTCCGTGGTACTGATGGCCCACAGACGGCGAGCCAACCACACCTGCCGCATTTCATACAATTCGAACGCACAAAGCCGCTTTCCCAAGAGGAATATCGCAAATTATTCTGGGCACACTTTCCTACAAGGGCGAGGCAGGAGTCTTAATCCCCTGCTTCATCTACCACTCACTACCTCCCGTACACTTAGAGCCTTCATTTCGCGTATACGAACAGACACCGATAGACCTGGTCTCACAATTTCTACACATTCCGGCTCTTAAATTCATTTCTCTTTGCACTGTAGGTCAAACCTCTGATACGAAGACCTTTCCTGACAGCACAGGAAACCGCAAACATGCCCGTCGTCCTCATTCCCTTCTCAGTAGGCGGCAGTCGATTTGGCATGAGCGTCGCGTATGATGCAGCGACATTCCAACTAGACACGGCGACATTTCCCGATATTCACGGCTCAACCATCACTTCAACCCCGTCTTCCAGTACTTCGCACTCGAATCTTCAGACTTGGGCTGAGGTAGTGAAGCATGGCGTGCTACCCGGGTCGAAGAAGAGTAGGTCGTTGCGGAATGCAAGGCATCACGAGATATGCTTACAAAACACAGTGCCCAGATACATCAAGGGCGAGCCGTGGATTTCAGAAAGCGACGCAGTCGCAGACGTTTACGAAACCCCTGCCATCAAGCCGAAGTTTCACCGATTCCTTGAGTTGCCCACTGAACTCCGCCTCGAGATCTGGAAACTTGCCCTCGATGTCGATACGAACGTGATGGAAGTGCGCAAGGCAGTCAGGAGGGGCAATAACCCCGCTCGACCCGGGTTTCTTCCCCAGTTTTGCTATACATCGCGACGAACCTTCGACGAGACGGTCGCCACTGTCATCGAGAATTTGCAGATGATGATTTGCTCATACGCCGACAACCAGTTTGCACGCGCGTTTCTGGCCGTAGAGCCGTGCCGCTTTGACCTCGTTCGTCACTTGGACTTCAGGTTCTTCAGCCGCTTCAAGGAAGAGTTTGGTGTGAACGCTGATCTAGAATTTGCTTTCGGATGCAGGGGTCTGCGTACCATCAAGCTCAACTTCCACTACAGCGATCTGATCCGGCTGGAAATTGAGGATGGTTACGACTACTACGAAGACGATTTCACCCGTTACCCTGCCGAGGGTGAGGAGCTGTTCAACAAATACAAGCTTGCTCGGATATTGGACTGCGACGCGCTCAACGCAGTCATCATCGAGCACTCAGGGTGTTACTGTCGAATGGCGGTGGAAGCGGCCGAGGGCTTGGGGAGAATCATAGAACAGAAGTTCGCAGGCAAGGTCCCGAAGCAGATCGTAAAGCTTGCCTACACTCGTCAGCCGACGAGACTTCGTGAAAACAACACTTTTGGCTGGAGTGTATGAAGTACACAAATAGGGAATCGAGGGGGACCAGAAGTGCATGGAATGACTGGAGTGGACAAGAGAGTATTACGGAAGGTCTCGTGCGGTACGTAGGGCTCACGGACAGTGCGCCTGAATTAGCCCTTTGCAATTGATCAGCCTATATTTTGATGGTCAAGTCTCTTATCTTCTGGCGATACATTCTATGGAACTTCAAATCTCGTTTGGTCTACCTCACCGGGTGCTGTGGGGCATGCATAAGACACAATCCCATCACCATGTCTTCTTATAGCCCCCGTCCACTGAGTATGTGTGTCTGTGACGACAAGAAGGCGGCTGTGAAGTCGTCACGCTCGCTAATCTTCCGCTTTTTTAGATGTTTCGCTGAATCTCGTATCCGACAGAGTTTGAAGACTACTTGGGACTCTGTTGTTCGAGACCGCCATATTCTAGGTTGCTGAAGGGTGGTCGGAAAGTCCCTCTCTCGTTCGGTCGCAGAAACTCGTTACCGGAGACGAAGTAAGGCCTTGCGTCGGTGTGGTGTTCAAGATAGTGGCCCGCCATCTTGTCGAGAAGTCTTCCCATCAGAACGCGCATCCATTACAGGCGGCGACTGTGCTGTGCCGTCTCGTGAATTAGCTCAGAGGTGCCCTGAAGAGCACAGGCTCAAAGTCCGGCCCGTCGTTGCTGCTGGGTCAGTCTTCGCACCGTGCCACATCGCACTTTGTCGATGAAGGCTGTGAGTAGTGTTAAAATCTTGTTCACACAGAGGTCTCATCCATCACCGTGCCGCCTTTCCGCTCTCCGCTCCAGGAAGAATAGCATGCTTGGCGTGTAGCAATATTCCACCACAACGCCACCACCAGATGTGGCCGGCTAAATGTGTGATCCGCTATCGAGTGAGCTGCGCAGTCCCGGCTGACCGGGGCCCCGTCTTTGTCAGGGCAAGGCTTGGTATCAGGTCTCTAAGCGCCATCAATCACGACATGAGTGTACAACGCGAGTAGAGGACCGGGGTGGGGCGTTCTGCGATGGAAAGAGGGGCCCCACTAGCCCATTCGCTTGCGCATGAACAATATACTGTCGACTCCAACAGCTCGGCGCGTGGAACTCTCTACACACATATGCCTCCCAGGAAATTGAAAGTGTCGCATCAGTACGAGCACCGACCTCGCAATTGATTACTTCCATGGCTGCCGCCGGTGCATGCCGCCAAGGCTGCACGTGGCCTGCAACATAGCTCCGATGTGCACCTGGACACCGTCCCGCCTCGTCGCTTGCGCGTATCCACAGCGCGGCTTCCCCTCTAACCATTTGCACACCCTATCCACATGCGTACATCGAAGCCGTCTGAGCCTTATCGACGTCTGCCAATGCGAAAAATCATGGAACGACTTCGTCAGTACAATTGTTTTGTAAAGTCCAGTCACCGAGCTCCAGATCCGGCGCGCAGGCCCATTTATCCATCTTGGCTGGTCCTGGCATCCCATGGTAAGCTTGACCTACCGTGAGCGGACTCTTGGTTGGTTCGTCCAAGCCTTGAGTGCAGAACACCAAGAGGCATACCGGATGCTAAGCAAAATTATCCGCGGGACGAGTCGCCTGTTCAGATGGGGATCCAGAGCTATCGAGGCGTCTTACAATCAAGCCCGGGGGCGTCTCAAGCCTCAACGCTGGGCACAGCGGAATAGCAACAGAATCGGGGAACGCATGGCTTGATGGCGAAAATCACTCGGCAGATCGGCTTCGACATCTCATGATGAAGGGGTCTATCATCTGATGAGTTGAAGCAGACCGAGGCATAGAACCACCAGACCTCGCCAGCAGGCGCTTCTGCACATGTCGCGTCTTCAAAACGCAACATGCTGTTGTCCTATCTGGCTATCACGAAGTTAATATCAAGGCGCTTTCGAGGGCCAATGAATGACAGCAACCCGTGTCTGGGTCTATTGTCAAATGTGGTCACACGTTCTAGCGCCACCAGGTTATAGACTTCTGGAAGGCAGCCGAACACCCCATGGGGAGACAGCAATTTGCATCGGACGTTGGATACCTCCGTTGGCGGCCAATGCCTAGATATGACAAGACGGGACTTCTCTGTTCTTGTAAGTCTAGTCCCACGGCGCTACGGGCCTGGTGCCAACAGATCGCTCGGTGGAGATTTCTTGGTATCATCTTACTGGCCCTTCCCACCGTTGCTGTCAGGCAGTCTTCCTGCAAAGTGCGGTACCCATGTCCGTCAACCCGCGGTGGAACAAGCATGGGAGTATCTCCCATCCGGGGTGTGGGGTCGCTTGCAGTGGAGGTGGATCGAATATAAGTACTCGACGCCGGACGAGGGTCTTTCTCAACCCAAGGGACTTCGCCCATCAGTAGCACAGTCTACTTGTCCTGAACTTCGGTCAATCTTTCACTTTACAGTTCCATCGTTCTTTATTCAAGATGGTCGGTATGCACGTCGGAGCCGCCAAGGGCAACAGTGCCGTCCGCGAGGATGTGCCTGAGTTCGAGAAGGTCATTTGGTACAAGGACCCAAACATGCGAAAGCTGTTCTGGCACTCTTCGGTCCTTTGCATTGCCTCCGCCACTACTGGTTATGACGGGTGAGTGGAGTTTCCAGTAATGCAGCGGGATTTGCTGACCATCTTCAGCATGATGATGAACTCTTCGCAGCAGATGAGCAGATGGCAGGACTACTTTGATGAGCCTACCGGTAACCGCCTGGGTCTCATGAACAACATGTACAACATCGGTTCGATCGTCAGCTTCTTCCTCGTTCCCTTCCTGACCCAGTGGACCGGACGTAAGATTCCAATCGCCGTCGGCTGCTCCATCATGATTGCTGGTGCCCTTGTCTCGACCTTCTCTACGAACTGGCAGATCTACATGGGTGGCCGTTTCATCCTTGGTTTCGGTAACTCTTTCGCCCAGATGTGTTCGCCTATTCTTCTTACCGAGATCTGCCATCCTCAGCACCGTGGTATCTTCACTGCCGTGTACAACTGTCTCTGGAACTTGGGTGCTCTTTTCGTCGCATGGATCGCATGGGGTACATCCCAGGCGGACAACCACTGGTCTTGGAGGTCCATCACTCTTCTTCAGGCTCTGCCTTCATTCCTCCAACTCTGCTTCCTTTGGTGGGTTCCTGAGAGTAAGTCAAACTTTACACTGCATAACGAATATACGCTGACATTGCTTCCCAGGCCCACGTTGGTTGATCTCCAAGGAGCGCTACGAAGAGGCCCTGGACACTCTCGCCTACTACCATGCCGGAGGTGACCGTAACAACGCCACGGTTCAGTTCGAATACGTCGAGATGAGGGAGGTCATTCGTCTGGAAGCCGATGCCAACAAGAACTCCAGCTACGTCGACTTTGTCAAGACCAAGGGTAACCGATGGAGGTTGGCTATTCTCATCTCTCTCGGCATCATCTCCCAGTACTCTGGCAACGCGCTCTTCTCCAACTACATCAACTTGGTCTACGAGGGTGCTGGTATTACCAGCGAGAACCAGAAGATGGGTGTAAGTATCGCTGAAACGTTGCTGGGAAACACTTACTAACATTGCATCAGCTCACCGGTGGTGAACGTATCTTGGCTCTCTGTGTGTCCGTCTACGCCGCTACCTTGATCGACAAGGTTGGTCGTCGTCCCCTCTTCCTCGGCGCAACCACTGGTATGGTCGTCTCATTCGTCTGCTGGACCATCACATGCGCCATCTACGAGAACTCCGGCGACACCAATTCCGCAGCCGGTTACGCTCAGATTCCATTCGTCTGGATCTTCGGTGTCTTCTACGCTTTCGCCTGGTCTGGTCTGCTCGTTGCCTACGCTCTCGAGATTCTGCCTTACGCTCTCCGTGCTAAGGGTCTCATGATCATGAACATCACTGTGCAGGCTATCCTCGCCGTTGGTGGTCAGACGAACCCCGTCGCATGGGACAACCTTCCCAAGCACTGGAACTTGGCTCTCTTCTACACCCTCTGGATTACCGTCGAGCTTGTCTTCGTCTACTTCGTCTACCCCGAGACAAAGGTATGTACACTCCACTCCTGATCTACCCATGAGAACATTGCTAATCTTGTACAACAGGGTCCCACACTTGAGGAGATCGCCCGTATCTTCGACGGTCCTGCCGCAGTGGCTCCCGTGGACATGGATGCGATCGCCAGACAAGCTGCTAAGGAGCGCCTCAACAACTTCGGCGATGAGAAGGAGCCTCACGTCGAGCAGAGCCACGTCGTCTAGGGTGCTTGACTTTACTCGTTAGTAGTCGTGTCGCAGAAATAGGGGAGGTTGGGCTTCGTAGTTTTGGCATTCGCTACCCCTAGAGCAGTCTTTACTCCAATATACCCACTGCTTTGGTACACACTGTCTGATGCATTCTTGATCTCCCACGACAGGACAATGCTAGCGCGTCGGCCAAGACGCCAAGCCGTGCTAATTCTGTGCTCACCCCGCAATCATTTGAGCGATTTCCGCAGTCCGTCTCATTTTCTCAACCCGTCTTGGCATCCAACATTGAAGAGCCCTTCCGTGTCTGGCGCGTCAGCAAATTATCACTCAGCTCCATCAACCACCCTGATCCTTCTTTATCCGAATAGCAACTTGAATCACACCACCCTCATCTCCGTCGGTCGGTCGGACATATTACCTAGATACCAGCTTACTGCTCCCCAGTTGTTCCATCACTACAGTTACTCGGCACCATCTCCGGATGCAAGTCATACAAGACGGCAGTTGTGAGTCTACGGATCGGGGAATTAGGGCGCTGACGCCGTATGCATCTTCGTCGCGCCGTATCGCCCTACCTTAGAAGCGCTGCAAGTCTGCAGAGACCGTAGAGCTAAATACCCACCTTGCGGCACGCACGAGCTGGTCGATTTCTTTCGCTCTTGACACAAAGATCAGTCTCGTTGAAGTGATCGTTCACGTTGATTTATTATCGACATCACGACCACCATACGCGTCTAGCTGCCCAAGACTCAGGGTTTCGGCGTAAAAGGACGTAGACGTAGGAC